TTCTGTAAAACATGCCATGCATTTCAGGTGGTGGGAAAGCCTCAACATGTAACCAGACCAGCACCTGTACCAATTTGTGAAGAACCACTTAAGCAAGTATTAGAGGGTTGTGTCAGGACACCTTATGTCCTTACAATCATGGAAATGACAAAGGAATAACTAATGGGAACCAAGTTGAAGACAATTACAGCTAGTGTAGTAGCGGAAAGGATAAGGTATTTCTTTAAAAGTTTTGAATTACCAACTGAGGTAAGGTCTGATTAGGGTTCTAACTTTAGATGTAAAGTTTTCCAGGAAATCTTTAGCATTTTGAGTTCAAACAATTGAAGTTAGCAGCATATCATCCACAAACACTAAGAGCTTTGGAGAAGCACCAGCATACTTTCAAAAATATAAGGCATAGAAAATGCTGGAGAAGTTAATCAGATCTGACAGCATCTGTGGAGAGAGAAGCCGAGGTAATGTTTTGAGTCCAGTGTGGCTCTTCCACATTACCTGCATTTATTTCAGATTTCCAGCATCTGCTTGTTCGTACAAGATTAAGATATGTTATCATGAAAACTCACAATTTTGGTATAAAGGATTAGATTTCTTATTATTTACCACCAGAGATTTCCCCAAATGTATCAACTGGATTTAGCCTATTCAAATTGGTTCATGGTACTGAGATTAGAGATCTTGTAAAATTGATTAGGGAGAAGTTTTTGAATGAGAAGGATGAATCCTCAATGTTAGGTGACGTCCATCTTTTGAGAATAACTTGCAATCGTGTAGGTAGCACAGCAACATTTAAAAGTTTCACAGGTGGAAATGAAACAATGAGCAGATAAACATTCAGCAACGAGAAAGTTTCAAGTGTGAGATGATGTATTGGTACTGTTGCCATTTCAAGTGAACCTCTGAAAGTGAAATTCAGTGGTCCATATAAAGTAGCTAGAAGGGTTAGTATGGTGACTTATCTGACATACACTGCTGATCAAAAGAAGAATCAGTTGTGTCACATAAATATGTTGAAGTATATTATTATAGCAAAAGAATAAGGAGAGAGTGTGTCAGGTGGTAATGATAAAAATGACATAATAAGAATGTGGTAGATGAAGAGGTCTCAAATTGAAGCTCCTACATTTCAACTAGCTAACACAGAAACATTGTGATGGTTAGATTCTATGTTCTCATCTTTAGTGAAAGAACAATGAGGGGATCTTAAAGACTTCTGTGCAAGTGTGAGCAATCTGCAGGTAACCTGGATATATATTAGCTGGATTTGATGTGATGTAGAAGATCCGCATGATTATGAATTCAGTTATGAAATTGTTTTCTACCACTTAACTGTGCTTTGGTTTGTAGAAGAATTTTTGAAATGTGAAATTTAATCTGCTGCTAACAAGTTACACCTTGAAGTAGGAAGTCACAGATTTTCATCTGCTAAGTTCAAAAAGATGAGTTGTCACTTATGGTATCATTACTCTTGGAAGACAACAATATGTGCTTAAATATTCTTCTCCTAAATGATTTGAGGGATACTTTGAGAAGTGGCATTATGAAAACATTTAATTCTCTTTCTCAATATTCTCAACATGAAGGTGGGATTTCATCTCCACAAGGACTCTGTGGTAGTCACTCTTACTGATCGTATCATGGTCAGATGCATCTGCAACAGGCGGTTTGGTGAAGATGAGGTCAAGTGTGTAATTCCCTCTTGCTTGTTCCCTCATTGTCTGCTGTAGACCCAGTCTAGCAGCTATGACCTTTAGGACTCAACCAGTTCGATTTGTGGTGATACTATAAGACCACTGTAGGTGATGGACACCCTCAGTACTTCAAGTGATGCTCAAAATGGAGGAATACTGTTTCAGCAGATGAGGGGGAACAATATGAGGTACTCATGTTTCCTTGCCTATGTTTAATGTGATGATTTCATGGTATCTGGAGTCAATGTTGAGATCTCCTAGGGCAGTTCCCATCTTACTATACTTTGCTGCCACTTCCACTGGGTCTATCCTGCCAGTGGAACAGGACATGTAATGGTGGCTTGGTCATTATGTATAAGGTATGACTCCATAAGTATGACAATATTAGGCTGTTGCTTGATTAGTCTGTGTGACTGCTCTCCTAATCTTGGCATTAGCCCCCAGATGTCAACAAGTACTTTGCAGGGTCAACAGGGCAGTATTTGCCTTTGTTTCCGGTGCCTTGGTCAATGCTGGTAGTCGTCCAGTTTGAAATTTTCTAGTGGTTGATACAACTGAGCGGCTTGTTGGCCCAGTACTGTGGTTCTCCAGTTACATGTAGGCCAGACCAGTTGAGGAAGGCAGATTTACATTCGTGAACCAAACGGGTTTTTCCCAAATCCACAATGGTTTCAAAGTCATCATTTGACTTTTAATTCCAGATTTCAAATCTGCCACGATGGGATTTGAACCCAAGTCCCCAGAATGCTACCTAGGTCTCTGGATTACTCGTCCAATAATACCATTATGCCATCACCTTCCCTAACAGTTCAATAAAGATACAGTGCATATAAGATTGCTTTTCTCTGAGCTTGTAACACATAAGTCTCTTCATGGCTGGAATAATGATGGGACATTCTCTATTGTGTCCCAATTACATCCAGCATCAACTCATTGAGTAGCTAACGGAATGCAACGATACTGTTGTCACATGATTGAAACTAGCTAGAGAAAGCCAATATCACAATTCACAAGGACATCCCAGTGCGTCAGTCTGAGATATGAAGACTGGAGGGAAGCCATTTCTCACCCAGCACAGAAAAGGACCTTGCATCAAAAGCCACTTTAAGCATACAACTGAGACATATTCATTTTAGCTGCAGTATTATATTTATTCACTGCAGGGCCTTGACCACCTCCAACTGGAAAGCGAGAAGCTGGCTGTTATTTAGGAATATATCATTGAAACTTCTGACCTTCATTTTCCTTTGGTGCAATCAAAAATCCTACAGGTTTACAACATGTCAGTTATCTTAACCAGTAATTAGAAGTGACTTTTTTTTTTACGCTTAAAGGTAACTAAATGTATGCTACATCTTTAAAACACTTTTT